TTACACCCCCTCCATTTGGTGTAAGTTTATTTTCTATGTGAGCCTTCTTTCTGCTTTGTAAGTAAGTGTGTCTTGTTTTTAGTGTCTGCCTATAAGCAGTATCATATTTGTCTTTGTCCAGCTTCACTTAATATGATAGTCTCTAGGTCTATCCATGTGGCTACAAATGGCCTGGTACATATTATGTTGAAACATTGCTGGAATAAATTCCACTTCATTATGGTGTATAACCGTTTTTATAGGTTGCTGGATTCATTTTGTTAGTATTTTGTTGGAATTTTGCATTTATGCTCTTAAGGGTTATCTTGTGATGTCTGTCTGGTTTTGACATCTACAAGTGTATTAATTTGCTAGGGCTGCCATAACAAAGTTCTACAGACTTGGTGGCTTAAACAGAAATTTATTGTGCCATAATTCTGAAGGCTAGAAGTCCTGCATTATGGTATCAGCAGGTTTGGTTCTCTCTTGAGAAGCTTGAGGGATATATGAAGGATATGTTCCAGACCTCTGTTTAATTTTTAGGTGGCTGTCTTCCCTCTGCTTTGTGTCCACATTGCCCCTTCTTCATTTTGGAATACAGACCACATTAATTATGTCATTTTTAATTTAGCTATCTCTAAATATATCCAAGTCTGGTCACATTCTGCGGTACTGGAGTATCTTTAACATAAGAATTTTGGGGACATAATGTTCAGCCCATAACAGGGGTAATTAATACTGGTCTTATAGAATGAGTTGAGAAATGTTTTAATAGTTTAATATATTGTGATTAGTTCAAAACATCCAAAATATCACTTCAATATGTAATGAAAAAATTGAAAGTGAAGTCATTCAGTCGTGTCTGACTCATTATGACCCCTGTAACCTGCCAGGCTTTTCTGTCCATGGGCTTTTCCAGGCAAGAATACTGGAGTGGATTGTCATTTCCTTCTCCAGGGGAATCTACCCAACTCAGGGATCAAACCTGGGTCCTTCCGCATTGCAGAAATATGTAATAAGTATTTTAATTGTTTTTTTTTTTTCTTTCTTTTTTGGCTGCACTGCAAGACTTCTGAGATCTTAATTTCCCAGCTAGTGATTGAACCCTCACCCTCAGCAAGTGAGCAAGCAAGTGGGATCCTAACCACTGGACCACCAGGAAATTCCCTGCAATTCATTGTATATGTACTAAATTTTATCACTTGGGGCACTTAGTTTGTTCTTGCCACATTTCAAGCGCTACGGGCTACTGTATTTTTATCCTTTGTACCTAACCTGTTCTTTTTTTCAAAGCAGTTTTCCTTTGTGCTTTAAATGTAGGAGTTTACCAACATATGCTTGGTCTGTGTGTTTTTAAAGTATCTGGGGAACTACACAACAGAGTTTTATCTTAAACCAGGAAGGTTTCCTTCCATTCTTTATCTCTTCTCCTGCCTCCGTTTTGTCTTTTTACTCTGCAATTCCTATCATTCACATGTTGTTTCTTCTGTCCTGTCTCTTATTATGTGAGTTCTCTGAATTTCATCTCTTCCCCCTTGTTTTCTTTTTTTTTCCCTTTGTTTGAGCTTATTTCTTCTATTTGGTTTTCCAAGCCACTAACCTTTCTTCCATTATTGACCATAAATCAAAACTCAGTTTTTAGCACTGGAAAATGTTTCATTCTGTATTCAAGTATCTGATTTTTTTCTGTTAAAATATTTACTAAAGTTTAGTGCAGTACTTTTCCTAGAAAACCGTTCTAAGCTGTTGCCTGACTTGTATTACTGATGCTGGAGCCCCTTTCAGGTACATAGCCCTGTCCTTTGCTGCTCTTTCGCTCTGTTTTCCACTCGCCTGGCATAGTGTGCTTGTGGTCGTGAGCAGTGAACATTGAGCACCAGGAGCTATAACTGCCTCCATTCCTATGGCAGCTGCAGGTGATCTGACCTAGTCCCACGAGGAAGTTCCAGGCCTCCTGAATGGACTGTGGGCATTTGTTAATACAGGTGATAGATATTTCCCTCTGTTGAGAACAGATTTTAGCACTGGAGATCTAGTGTTTTTTTTTATGAACTGCCACACCTGATATTTTTTCCTAAGTTTAGATCTTGATCCTTGAGTCAGCAACAAAATGCAGTCAATATCATGGAACAAACTTCTTGTTTTATGTTGGCTAAAAAATTGTTCCTTGTGTTCATTTCAATACAGACATTATAGATATGATCATTTCAATACAGACATTACAGATATGATTTTCCTAGCACTATATTACACTATTTTTGCTTTTTAGTTAACACAGCTTTTGAGAAATGAACACTGAGGAAAACAGTGTATTATTACCCCAGGCTTAGCTACAGTAAGGTAAATAGCCTAATAGTCTAAAGATAATGGAAAACAGCCTTCCTGTTGCTTTCAAATTATGACATATCCTCTTTGACATATGAAAATGTAATGGCAAACATTTAAAGTGTCAGTGTATTTTAATCACCCATCTGTAGCTTTTCTCTTTTTTAATTGAAGTTAATGTACAATATTGTGTTAGTTTCTGGTGTACAGAAAAGTGATTCAGCTCTCTATACCTTTTCATATTCCTTTCCATTATAAATTTTTACAAAGCAACTAACACCAAAGCATATCCTAACAAATGACTGCATTTTAAAAATATAAATAATTTGAACAAGTATCCAGGGGGAAATAAGTAGGTAATGTACAAAGGAAAAATAGAAAACATGGTCTACTAACTTATACTTTTAAATCTTACCTGTATACCAGGGTAAAAACTCGTTTTAACATTTCTACCCGTGTTCATGCTTCTGATGTGTTTAAATGTCACTGCCTCAGAATCCCTATATGAGTTAACCCCCATTTTCTAATTTGGGGTTATTTCATAATTTGTCATCAGATGTTTATTCTGTATTGATTCCTAGTCCACCGTTCTGTGGACTTAGCACAGTACCTGCATCTTGTAAGTGCACAATATTTCTGGGTTAATGAATGACTTGAGATTGAGTAAATTTTATCCTGCTGCATATCACTCAGATCCTTTGACACACTTGAGTTTCCACTACAATGTTTTTGTTGCAGGGTACCATCAATTCTTCCAAAATTTGTCTTATTTCTTCCCATCTAGTTTCCATGCATCTGTTCCCATCATTCATTTCCAGAGAGCAGCTAGACTGTCCTCTTGGAAAGCAAAGCTCTTTTCCATTGGTCTTAAAGTAAATAAAGCCCACAATAAGGTATCAGGCCTTCAGGGCTTTGGGGGAATCTTGTTCTGCTGCCCTCATTGATCTCAGTCCTGGCTGCAGGTGTTTTTGGGTGTTTTCTGTCCCAATACTTTGCCCTGTGTATTCTGTACATGTTGTTCCTTCACTGGGCAGGAACCCTATCATGACTGATCAATTATTAACACTCAGCTAGCCAGTGTCATCAACCAGGTTAAGCCAAGAAAGCATATATAACACTACTAAACTGGAACAAATACACTGAAAAAAGTGAGAAAATGGATGTCAGTCATGTAAATTACCAAGAATATGTTTTGAAGAGGATTTTAGGAAGTGACAAAAAAAGTGAAATAAATGCTCAGGAAGCAGTCAGGGTACTCATTTCTGTAGGTAACTCTTTCCCCAAACAAACCAATTTTGTGGCTTAATTTTTCTTCAGAATATTCTCTCTTGAATGTATGAGTTTTTAGTGTCTTTCTCATTTCCGTGGGATAGTTGCATTTTAAATCCTATCACCCAGCTTCAATAGCTACCAGTTGTGGACAGTTTTTCTTTACATCCCCCATTTACTTTCTACTTAGAGATAATTTTTTTAGAGGTAATTTTGAGGCAGATCCCAGCCATCACACCATATCACCCACAAATATTTAAAAATGTATCTCTAAAAAGTAATGCCTTTCATTTTAGGATAACTAATTCTGTAACCTAAGTAAAATACTTTAATATCAAATTTCTAGGCAGTGTTCAGGTATTTCCAAAATTGTCCTATATTTACCAATTTGTTTGAATCAAGATCCATATATTTCCCATATATTGTAAATCCTTGATAATTCTCTTAAATTTCTTTTATTCAGTAAGTGCTCCCTTGAAAGCTATCTTGGTGAAGGACAGACTATTGTGCTTATCCAGTTTCCCAGTCTGCAAACTGCATTATTACATTCTCATTTAGTACGGTTCCTTTTTCTCTATCAATTCTGTAATTTGTTATCTCTAGTAAGCAGATTCTTAGACTTTAAAAGATAGAGTTTATTACTAAAAGTATTAAACATAGACAAAAGTAAAGACAGTATAAAACTCCATGTACCCATCCCCCAGCTTCAATAATTACTAAATCGTGGCCCATGTTGTTTCGTCCGTACTGACTCCCACCACTCAGATTTAGAAACAGATTCTAGATAATCATACGAATCTCTTAACGACTTAAATCACAGCAACAAAGCTACAACTAAAATTTTATAGTTTCTTCATATAAATTCAAGTCACTGCTAACATTGCAATTGCCTTATAATTGTTTTCCAGTTCATTTGAATTAAGATTCAAGTGTTCATAAAATGTAGTTGTTTGCTAGGTTGTAAAGTTTTAAGAATTGCAAGTTTTAAAATTAATCCTTTTAAACTGAAAAAATAATTACATGACTGCTCAAATCTACAAAACAAGGTGCTGTATATATATATATACACACACACAGAGTGTTCTACCTTTTGTTCATTAGTTTTCATTCGGAATTCTTTCCTGCCTTAAAGAGTTTGTGTTTTTGTTTTAATTTTACGGTTTCTCCTGCCTTAAGAGTGGTGCCGGCCACTCCTCCCCTCCCCTCCGCTCGTACTCTGGACTTTTCTCTACCCTGGCACCTCTCCTGAGAGCTCACTCAGAACGGTCTTCCTCGTTGCTTTCCTTCCCTCCTCCCACTTCCTGCCTTGGCCGACCGCGCGGCCGCACCTGCAGGACGCGTTTCCATTGGTGACATCTTGGCGGGCCCGCCGGTGGCACTTCCTCCTTTACACCCCGTGACCCACGTCCGGCTCGCCGCCCTCCCAGTCACGCGGCCTCTGCCTCCGGGACGCAGCCCCGTGCGCCGGCCTTCCGCACTCCAGGCCCCGGATCCGTCGTGGTGAGCCGCCGCCAGCGGACGACCCCCGCCCGCACTCCCCCCAGCCCCCGTGCGTCTCGGGAACTCCCCTACCTCCTCCCGCGCAGCCGCCCTCTACCCCAAGAACTCTTTCTGCCCTCTCCTCGCTGCCCCAGGAGCTCCCCCTCCCCCACCTACCCTGCGTCCCCAGGAAGTCCCCCCGACCCGACCCGGGAGCTCCGCCTTCAGCTCCAGGAACCGCCCGCCCCCGCCTCGGGTCCCGGGAACTCTTCCTCGCGGCTCCAGGAGCCCCTCGGATTAGGGAGCTCCGCCTTGCCTCCCCTGCGGCTCCGGGAAGCCCGGGCAGGAGAACTCTTTACCACTTCGCAAACACTTTCGCCTCTCTCGGCGGCCTGAAAACTCTGCCACCCTCGTGAGTCCCCGCTGCCCTGGGAGCCCCCTCCCACCTCGGGCCCCCGGAGCCTAAGTCTCGTGACCTTCCCCTCCCCCCACCTCGCCCGGCCTGGCGAGCCTATCCCTCCCCCCACCCGTAGCTCGCCCCGCCCCGGAAGCTCCCGCTGACCCCGCCCAGGCCCGTGGATGGGGCGCAGTGTCGTCGGGCCTTCCTGTAGGGCTTTTCCAACCCAAAGCTGTCGGATCGGCGGTTGGAGGCCGAGCGAATCCCTTCACGTCCCAGTGCCCCCGCCAGCAGCCTAGCGTCCGGGACTGATACCGCGCTTCCCGCCGAAATCGCTCAGACGCGCCCCTGGCGGCCCGTGGCCGCGAGCTTGAGAGCGCACTTTCAAGCCTGGTACGAAGCGTTTGCCCCCAGCCAGTTGAGTTTCAATTTCAGGTTAATAACAAAAGGAGGTGCACCTGGCCTTTCTGCGGAATCTTCTCCGTTTTTAAGCGTCGGGTGGAGTTGGGGGTCCTTTGGCTGTAAACTGCGCTTGCTGGTTGAAAATAGAAATCGGTCCTGCTCTCTTCAGCGGTAAGTTTTAGGGCAGAGTCAACTGCGTAATCCTGAGGCGGCGTCTCCCGCGGACTGGGATTTAAGAGGTAGAACTTTCTGATTAATTAAGAACAGCCACTGCGGTCTGTGCATGCTGGCAGTTGTAGGTTAAAATTTCTTTACAAGTAAGGGCGAAAATGCTTCTCAGGCTCCACTGGGACACGGATAAAGCAGGGTGAAGCCAGGGAGCTGCTGAGTTCCCGTCCCTGAATAGAAACGGTGGGGGCGCAGCTTCAGCCGTCCTGTGTACTTCGTAGATAAACCTAATCAGTCGGGCGCTGGAGGTGCGCCCTGTTTATCTCGATGTGGCTACCTGGATCTGAACTAAATCCTGCCTAACCAGTATAGTATAGAGTGAGGTAGAACTCGTTCTGGAATACCTCCTGGGAGCAATTAGATATGCTGAATTTCGGCCCCGGCCCAGATCTGTTGTTCTAGAATCTGCATTTTAACAAGATCTTGGGTGGTCCTTGTGCACACTTACGTCATAGACCTGTAGCGGGCAGGCGGATGGAGTTGTGCAAAATCAGTCTCTAGGTGCTGGACCCAAGAGTAGTGTTTGTAACACTTGGCCTCAGTGGTGTCGACGGGCTGTCGGGGAGCCGGGTGGGAGACCAATGTATATCCTTAACGCTTGAACATGTGTGCGCCATGGGAATCTTTTTCCTCGCGTCTGACCGCCCCTGGGTTTGCATGTCCGAGCAAGGGCTTTTGGTCTGCGGACCACACTGGAATGAGCAGGTAAGGTAGCAGGGTGATAAAACCCAGGCAAGGAGTTCAGACCACTAAGATGACCGGGCTCCACCCTTTAGATTCTACTCTAAATAGAGAGTAGAGGAAAGGGACAGTTGATGAAGCCTCTTGAAAACCCTCGTCTCGAGAATTTGAAACTGTTAAAAAACTCTTAAATTGTAGTACTTTATATAGGTTTTGCTCCCCAAAGTAGTATCTCATGTAACAGAGGATGCAAGACAGGTACTGTGTCTACGACAACAGGCTCAGGGAAACTGACTTTTCACAATTCTACGGTTCTAAAACTTAAGAATGTGCTTTAACGAATTCGCTGGACATACCGAAGTCTGCGGACAGCTTTATTCTGTGGTTGATGGTAGATTAATGTTTTTCCTATTTTAAAACATTTAAACACTACTTCCCCTCATTCTTTCTCAGATAAGAGAGCAGTGTTAGATCAAATACAGGTTTCAAGAAATGAAGTTATTAAAAACAGGGGAAGGAAAATCCTTTTAATATCTCCACCCAGACCTCCAGGGATGTTTGCAAATTGTAAATACTGTTACGACAGTTTATAGCAAACTACTTTTGCCTGGAGCACAGTGAACAGGGCCTGGTCTCCAGTGCCGATCCGCAGCGCCTCTCCCCGCCCGCCTTCTGCTTCCGGGAACGCTCCTTGCCCCAGCCCCGCCCAGAAGGTGTGCCTCCCACTCTCGGTATTTAAATTTTCTTACCGCAGTTAGGGTTTTCTGTACGGAATGCGCCTTCTGAGTAAATCTTTCACGGCAAGTGGGAGGGTTCCAGGCTGTTATTCCTTGTATTACCTTTGAAAAAGGTAAACCTTTCCAAAGCTGTTGGGGTGGGGCGGGCGTGTACCTACTTTAAGGCATCCCAGCGCTTGAAAACGGCTTGCCTCGGCTCTGACTTCAGAGAGGAGCTCAGAGCCGGTCTCAGCCAGGGGATTGCTGCCTCTGCTCTCTCCGGGAATGCTGGGGCATTAAGACAAGATATCCTTGTCGCTCTTTTTTAGGACGATTCGTTACCTACCTGGAGTGTCTTCGACTGTGGGCATCCCCCGCTGTTCTTTAAGGTGAGCTATTTTAAGAAAATTCTGTTTATGATTGATTTCTTGATGCAGAAACTTCTTGAGTGAAGATTTTTTTTTCACTAGCTGTAAATCTAATGTTGAGCAGAAAGTCATTTCTTATTTTCACGACTTTTAGTTAATGTTCTAAGTACTGAAAGTCTGCGAAGAATCCAAATGTAGAGGATTCTGAGGTCAAAAGTAAGGATACTGCTTTATTAGAAGTAATATGTGTTTTGGAAAAGTGCTCTTTTCGCTTTATAATTTCTGTTTTGGGCACTTTAATTCTTACATGAAATATTTGTTCTTTTATGCTTCCTGTGTTTTTTTTCCCCCCTTCTGCTCCTCTTTTTTAACCTAACCAGACTGCCATATTCTAGAAGGTGATGTTGGCCCCACGTGGCCATCAATTAATCTCTTGCTAATCTTCGGCCTGCTGTGCTGGGAGTAGGACTACAGTGACCTACAGAACAGAAGTCTGTTGCTGCGAGCCTCTCAACACAGTTGCAAAGAGTTTTAAACAAATTATGAATTGTTTACCTAGAGTGCTCTGGGATCGTAGAACTATAGATTTAATTTGTTTGGGGGGGGCGGGGAGAGAGTCTTGTGGAAAAGTTGGTAAATATAAGCTGAGACCTTAAGGATTAGTGGGATTTAGCTAGACAGAAGATTGGGTGGGCTATCTTCTGACATATAATTACTACATGTGTCAGTTCCAGTGGAGCAGAGAGCCTGCCACATTTCAGGCACAGAGAAATATGGAAATAGAGGTTTGTTTGCTTTCTAATGCAAGTGTGTTTCAGGTCAAAGTTTCAAGGCCTGAGCACCCCCTTGGCCCTGTGGTTTGTGTTCAGGACAGTGGGGAGCCACTGAGGTGTTGAAACAGTAGAGTGACATAAAATTACTCTTAAAACAGCTACAGGTTGGACTGGCACAAAGGATAGGAAAAGTTGCAGATGTGAATGTCTTGGAAAGGGCTTGTTGGTACAGGAACTAGAAAGGGATGAAGGTGATGCCCAGAGATGATGATGATTTGATATTCAAATCATAACGTCAAACAGTGTGCTAGGGACCAAGGAAAGATATGAGAAACCTTGTTATTTGTTGGGAGTCAAGAGTTACTGAATAGAATTAGGAATTCTATTCATGGATTAGGAATAGGATTAGGGTGGAGAATGGGATCACCCCCTAAAGAAACGATGAGCTCATTAGACTTAAGGGCTTTCAAGTTGTTCGAAGATTGCTTCAGTTTCATTCTAGAGCTTTTGGGTGACAGGTAAGGCCATTTATGCTGCAACCAGAGTACTGTAGAAGAGTTTCAGAAAACAGCGGTGTTCATTTGTGGTACATAGGTTGAACTATGGAATGGAGTTTGTCTAGGCCAGTCTTGGCCTTGGGGAGTCTAAGTCTAGGAACTTGTGTGTCCGGAACCCAGAATTGGCCCTGGACACAAAAGGAACAGGTGAGGTTGCCTGTAAAAAGGGGACCAGTGATTGTGTATGGTTAAACCTTGGGGAAGAGGCAGAGTACCTAAGGAATTAACAGGAAAACCAAGAGCCAAGAGAAGAAAGGATTTCCAGAGAGAATGGTTAAATCCTGTGGGCACAGAAGAGATGGAGATAAGAAAATGTTTCTTTTCTTGCAGTGGAGGTCCTTGGCAGAGTGAGATGTCCCACTAGTTTGGTGGGGTAGGGTGGGGCATGTAAGAAGCCTTTTTGAGGATGAGATTTCACTGAAAGGGAAAGCAAAACCAAGTAGATGGAGGCAAAGTTGGTATCAGGAAAGATGTATCTAAGGGGGCGATTAGAAATGAGGAAATCTTAATAAGGAAAATAGTGTTCAGTGAAGTTCGTGTGAAGAGGGAGATTGCTTGGGGTGGGTGGAGTTGACCAGAGCAGAGCCACAGATAAAGAGCTCAGCTACAGAAGAAGCAACTCCTTTGTTTATAAATTTCTAAAACTTGCTCTGATTAGCTTCACCAGGTCTCTATTCAAGCGATTTACTTTTCTTTTTCTTACCCTTCATGCTTTCTAGTTTTAATTGTGGCGTTTTTAGACATCTGTCCATGTTTTGCTCTAATAGTATAAATACGCCATGCCATTTGAGATAGTTTTGGGATTCATATGAGGTAAGATTCTGTTTTATCTTTTTATGCCTAGATTTTTTTTTTAAAAAGGCATCTTTTACCATTGACTTAATAGCTTCATCTGTTATACTTGATATCAAATGACAATTTCATAAAACAACTTCTGTATACTTGTGCCTGTTCTGAATATATTTTTGGCCCTATCTGTATCTTTATTGTCTATGTTATTCATATACTGGTGTTGGACTCAGCTCCTGCTCTTCAGAATGCTGCCCTTCGACGTGGATTTGACCTTTACTCTTTTTTCAGCTTGGACTCTGGGTGTCAGATGCCACTTAAACTTCATGGCACTCTGTTAGGAGGGGCACCTGTCATGCCTCTTGTACAATGAAGAGTTTATTCCCTTTCTAGTCCCTCAGTGAAACACAGAGAAGTATGTGTAACATTGAACAATGTAATGTGTTTTGTTTTTTGGGGGGGATCATGCTGTGCTGCTTATGGGACTAGGGACTGAACCCAAGCCATGGCATGTGAAACTGAGAAGCATATAATTTGATTTCTATGTTTGCATCACATATAACTGATACTTTGCTGATGGACTTACCTGTTTGTTTGGATATGACTGCACACTTGATTGGGATTTTGAATAGACAATGGGACTTCCTACCTACTCTCTTGCCTTTTACTTTAGTAATGCAGTAATATAATCTTGTTTTTCTTTAGTTCCATATTCTTGTTATACATATAAGTGAAAATTTATGTGTAAAGTAGTTTTTGCTTTCTTTTCAGCCACACAGAGCTGCACCCGAGCTTGTTTGACGTCTGCTCTGTCGAGTGTCCATGATGTTGGGCCCTGAGGGAGGTGAAGGCTTTGTGGTCAAGCTCCGTGGCCTGCCCTGGTCCTGCTCTGTTGAGGATGTGCAGAATTTCCTCTCCGACTGCACGATCCATGACGGGGTCGCAGGTGTTCATTTTATCTACACTAGAGAAGGCAGGCAGAGTGGTGAGGCTTTTGTTGAACTTGAATCAGAAGATGATGTAAAATTGGCCCTTAAAAAAGACAGGGAAAGCATGGGACATCGGTACATTGAAGTGTTCAAGTCCCACAGAACCGAGATGGATTGGGTGTTGAAGCACAGTGGTCCAAACAGTGCTGACACTGCCAATGATGGTTTCGTGCGACTTCGAGGACTCCCGTTTGGATGCACCAAGGAAGAGATCATTCAGTTCTTCTCAGGGTTGGAAATCGTGCCAAACGGGATCACATTGCCTGTGGACCCCGAGGGCAAGATTACAGGGGAAGCCTTTGTGCAGTTTGCCTCACAGGAGTTAGCAGAGAAGGCTCTAGGGAAGCACAAGGAGAGAATAGGGCACAGGTATATTGAGGTGTTCAAGAGCAGTCAGGAAGAAGTTAGGTCATACTCGGATCCCCCACTGAAGTTCATGTCAGTGCAGCGGCCAGGGCCCTATGACCGCCCTGGCACAGCCAGGAGGTATATTGGCATCGTCAAGCAGGCAGGCCTGGAGAGGATGAGGTCTGGGGCCTACAGTGCAGGCTATGGGGGTTATGAGGAATACAGCGGCCTCAGTGATGGCTACGGCTTCACCACCGACCTGTTTGGGAGAGACCTCAGTTACTGTCTCTCTGGGATGTATGATCACAGGTATGGAGATGGCGAGTTCACTGTCCAGAGCACCACTGGACACTGCGTCCACATGAGAGGGCTGCCCTACAAAGCTACAGAGAACGACATTTACAACTTCTTCTCCCCGCTCAACCCTGTGAGAGTCCACATTGAGATTGGCCCTGATGGAAGAGTGACCGGCGAAGCTGATGTTGAGTTTGCCACTCACGAAGAAGCCGTGGCAGCCATGTCCAAAGACAGGGCCAACATGCAACATAGATACATAGAACTTTTCTTGAATTCCACAACTGGGGCCAGCAATGGGGCATATAGCAGCCAGATGATGCAAGGCATGGGGGTGTCAACCCAGTCCACTTACAGTGGCCTTGAGAGCCAGTCTGTGAGTGGCTGTTACGGGGCTGGCTATGGTGGCCAGAATAGCATGGGTGGATATGACTAGTTTTGTAGTAGCTTTTGAGTTATTTCAGTCAAATTTTCACAGGCAGCCAACAAGCAGTGAAAAGCAGTTACTATTCTAGAGAAAGCTATGGGACCCATTTTGCACCATGAGTTTGTGAAATCTGGATTAAAAAATTACCTCTTCAGTGTTTTCTCATGCAAACTTTCTTCTAGCATGTGATATTGAGTAAACTAAAACTATTTTCAGCTTTTCTCAATTAACATTTTGGTAGTGTACTTCTGGAGTGATGTTATCTGAGTTTAAAGTAGTTTTAAGTATGTTAAATGTGGATCTTTTACACCATCATCGTGAACACATTGGGGAGGTGTGCTTTTTTGGAAAACTCAAGGTGCTAGATCCCTAATTCAAAGAGGACATTTCTCATGTTTGTTCATTCTAGTTTATTTTCATTTAAAATCTCTTAGGTTAAGTTTAAGCTTTTTAAAAGTTAGTTTTGAAATTTGAGACACATTACTAATACTGTAGGAATTGGTGAGGCCTTGACTTAAAAAAACTTTCTTTGTACTGTGATTTCCTTTCGGGTGTATTTTGCTAAGTGAAACTTGTTAAATTTTTTTGTTAACTAAATTTTTTTCTTAAAATAAAAAGACTTTTTCACAATGACTGGCACAGACTATATACTCACCAACAAATAGCAAAATGAGTTGGGTGGTTGAATTTAATACTGCTGTGTTACAGTGTGAATTTTAAATTTAGCACTATGATTTCCCTTGTGTTCTTAAAACAAGGCTAAATTAAAAATCAAATTTAAAAACATTAAACATGAGTGGAAATGGTGACTAGAAACTAGAAACATAGAGTTCCAGTTTTCCTGTGACTTTTTATTCATCAGCCATTTGTAATATCCTGCTGTTCCCTTTATACTAGGGTGGCACCTATTCATAGCTAGGGGTCTTTAGTTTTGGGTGCTACATACATTGAGTCATTAGCCAAAATTTATGGTTTTATATAAGATGTGCTGTTTGGCACAGTCTCCCATATTTATGATTATTTCTATAGGACACTATAGGTTGCAGTTATTGGTTATTGCAGGATATGCATATTCTGAAGTTTGAGACCTACATCCAAATAGTTGGTAGGAAATTGTTTATCTAGGAGTGGGAAGCAAATTTTAAATTTCAGGTAGCTCTGCACACAGCATTACAATCACATTAAACACTATCAAGATTTTAACATGAGAGAATTTCACTTCTTGGGTGTTCATTTTCTCAGCTTGCTTTTTCCACTTTAGTGACTGAACAGCGTAGCCCAGATCTAGTAAGTCTATAGGTAGACTAGAGAGAGCCTTGGGCCTTTCCTAACTTTGTTGAACTTAATGGCCCCACCCTGTCATTCTTCCCACCAGTGGTCTGCAGACTCATGGCAAAGATAAACAGTGGCAACATCACCCAGGAATGCCAGGGTGCAATGAAAAGGCGATGGTTTAATAGAGCAGTGAAGTTTCAGGGAGTGTGTTTATTTCCTATAGATCTTTGCAAATTTAAGCGTTCAAATATGGAAGGAGTGGGCTTCCTTTGTGACTAAGATGGTAAAGAATCCACCTGCAATGTGGGACCTGGGTTGGGAAGGGCCCCTAGAGGAGGGCATGGCAACCAACCCGCCTTACTTGGAGAATTCCCGTGGACAGAGGAGCCTGGTGGGCTCCAGTCCATAGGGTCACAGAGGCAGACAAGACTGACTAAGCACAGCACATGGAGTGGGCTCTAAGAACTTGAGGTAGGAACTCAGAATGTGTTGGATGACCGTAAATCCCACTGCAGCTGCAGTGGTTACCTGCCTCTTCCTAGAAGACTTGGTCACCTCACCTGAAGTATGTGGTTGATATGAAGAAAATCTGTCTCAGAGTCTGCTCCAGGAATGAGGTAAAATGTTGGTAAGCCAAATCCAGCCTGCCCTGAAAATGGTTTCCATTTTGATGAATCAGTTTGATGGCAGGGAACCCCAGTTAAGGTTAAATCTCAAATCTATTCTTAATAATAGACCTGCAGTACAAAATGCTGCACTTGTTTTCTAGTCTTGTCAAACACTGGGAAAACTTCAAATGTGCCTTGGCCTTTGAACTTTTATTACCCAACCTTGTAAAGGAAACTACACAAGTATTAGGACTGAGTGTGTAAGTTGTAAGCACTTTTGGAGCCCTTTTAATTGAAGCTTGGAGACTGACCTATAGAAGGGAGAGATTGTGAGTGTTGAGGAGGATGGATGTGCAATTCTGGAAGAGGAGAGGAAGTGGAAACAATTGGATGAATGGGCAGCAAAGCCTGAAAGGCAGTTAAGGAACCTTGACCCTGCCACATCTGTGGTGAGGCTAACACCTATGTGTGTCAGGGTCCTGCAGGCACAGTTCTGAGGTGTCTGCTTTTGCTCCCAGCAGTTCCTTCTCTTTATGTGAGCAAAAAGCAGATTGAAAAATCAGAATCTTTTCAGAAGAGAGCCAGGTCTCAGGCCCTGGGACCATCAGATGAAGTGGAGGAAGGGCCTGGCAGCATTGCAACAATGTGTGTAGTAAAGATTAGGTCTATATCTTCTCTTCTGAGGCCAAGGGTAAGAAGTGACCCAAATCTCTTATGCTGTTGCATTGGTAGTCTAGAAGTAGGCATCCACTGCCAACTTCTGTTACAGTGGGAGCATAGGAAGGCCAGGTGATACGGATTCACAGGCCCACGTTTCATGTCACTGGATTAAACTGGTGAAGACTCCTCAGGTTATCTCCATGAGTGAGTAGGAAGGGGTATCCTTGGCAGCTATTAGGTTTTTCCCCACCCGGAAACACACTTCGGTCCTTGTGAAGTAAGTCATAGTGGTAGGAAAGGCTAAGAGGAACCTCTCAGCGCTCCCCCATCCAAGACAGTGAACAGAGATGGTGATGTCTGCAACGTGTGGGGTTAGAGCCGTACTCCAAGGCTTGAAGAGGTTAAGCCTAGCCCTTATTTGCATGTCTGGTCCCCAGAAAGCAGATGGATTCCAGCAGATGAAAGCAAACAACCAGGAACTTAACCATGCAGTTGTCTCAGTTGCAGCTCAGTGCTTAATGTGACGTGTTTGCTGGAAAGATAAGCCTCTGGAACTTGGGAAGCCCCTGACCTAGTGAATACATTCTGAGCTAGCATCAAGCAAAAGATTTTTTTTAATGACCTTATAACATGGACATTGTCATCAGTTGGCTGGTAACTCCTGCCCTCTGGAGACTGATCACCTTGCCAAATCCACTCATTGGTCTTGGCAAGACACCTGTGTGGTAGTGCATGGAAGAACTTAGGGCTCTGCTGTGTCAAGGGCATTTTTAGGGTCTAGTATAATACTCCTGGGCAGCAACTGGCAAACTAGGGCCCACGGGCCAAATCTGGACCTGTTTTGTAAATAGTGTTTTACTGGTACACAGCCATCTGCATTCATTTATTTTGTATAGGCTGCTCTTGTGTTAACCTCTGCCAAGAGATGAGTAGTTTCATCAGACCATGTGGCCCACAAAGCCTAGCAGATTTTTACTCTGAGCCTTTATAGGACATATTTGCTGACTTCAGGCCTTGGGCAAAACTGACATTTCCTCCAATGGAAAAGTCAAAACACTGCCTCACCAAGAAAGAAGCATAAGTTTTGGCAGGACCTTTTGGATTTTGGAGAAATCTTACTTGACTTGAAAACAATGCTGCTACCGAACTACCAGGTGAACTAGCGGTCTGCAGGGTTTCTGCAAGTTGCCCTGCTGGAAAGGACAGAACAGGCTTCACCATCCAGGAATCACTTAATGGTTTTGTGTGGTGTCTCTGATGTCTCACTACATGGTGACTGCTCAGCCGCCTGTGTGATAGGAATCAACACTTCCTCTGTAGCAGGGAGCCGTTTACCATTCAAAAAGTTACTGGAGCTACTGTGCTCCCCCTGCACTAAGATACCCCTCTTGCTCCGAGTGTTGGCAGACACATCAAATCCTGAGTCTCTTTTAACAGTTTTTTTAGATCTTGTGTAAGAATTCTTGGACATACTTTGTTAGACTTATTTCTAGGCATTTTATTATATTTTAAATGGTGCCTTTTACTTTGGCTGTAAGTTTTGTTCCTGGCACTAGAAATAGCAGGATTAAAAAAAAAATTTTTTTTTTATGTTGACTTTTGTGGTCTTGCTAATGCTTATGCTGTTTAAATGTAGATTCTTTGGATTTCCTTTTTTTCTATTTGGTTGTGAAGGGTCTTGGTGCAGCATGGGGGATCCAGTTCTCTGGCCAGGGATCCAGCTCAGGCCCTTGCATTGTCAGTGCGGAGTCTTTGCCACTGGATCACTACAGAGGTCCTGATTCTTTGAATTTTTTACGTACAAAGTCCTGCCATTTGCAAATAATGGCAATTTGATTAATTTCTTTCTAATCCTGAGGTACTTTTTTCTTTTCTTAGCCTTACCCTGTTGCTTACTTAGGTAAGTTCATTTTTTAATCATTAGAAAACATGGTGCTGAACAAAGTTGGGGTCAGGGGGCATCTTACTCCCAATTTCAAAGAGAAAGCTTTCAATAATATTTCTCTATTACAGTACTGATTGTTAAAAAAAATACTGATTTTTTTGTTGTTGCATACTCTTAGACTTGTTACTTCAGGTTTAGTATCTATTTTTTAATCACTGGTAAATTGCATCTTATTTAATACTCTTTCCTTATATATCTTTATTCCTTTTATCTATCTTCCAATCATTCTCTTCAACTAAGTCTAATTGGCTGTTAAACATCAGTTACTGTGAGTTGTAAAGTTTCCATGTAACTTTTTTATATAATGTAGAAAAATTAATTTTTTTCATAGTTTTGGTGGTGAGAAGTAGGAATTAAGGTGTTGGCAAGGCCCTTCTCACTCTGAAGTCTCTGAGGAAGAATCCTTGCCTCTTCCAGCCTAGGCGACTGCTGACAGTCCTTGGTGTTCCTCGGCTTCTTTGTTCTTCTTTGTTCTCTCTCCCTGTGTCCAAAGTTTCCTCAAACTCATGTTTGTCGCATCGGTGATGCCATCTAACTATCTCATCCTCTGTCGTTCCCGTCTCCTGCCTTCAATCTTTCCCAGCATCAGAGTCTTTTCCAATGACTCAGTTCTTAGCATCAGGTGGCCAAAGTATTGGAGCTTCAGCTGAAGGGGTTTTCTGTAAGATAAATATGTTATCTTGAGTGCATTTTGAGTAGATCTGACCATACCTTAATACTCCTTTGATGGCTGTGTTGAGACTTGAGTGATAAACCCCTTTATAGGATCTGGCACAGGATCTAACCATTGGCCAACCAAGATAACTGGATCATGCTCCCTCATGTTAGCTGTTAGCCCTCACTTCTTACCCTGAGCTTTATAGTATTTACATGTGGCTCAGATGGTAAAGAATCTGCCTGCAATGCAAGAGACCCAGGTTCAATCCCTGGATTGGGAAGATCCCCTAGGAAAGGGAATAGCAACCCGCTCCAGTATTCTTACCTGGAAAATTCCATGGGCGGAGGAGTCTATTGGGCTACAGTCCATTGAGTCACAGATTCAGACACAACTGAAGGACTAACACATACATAGAAATTGAGGGTAAAAGACTGCTACCTTCTGTGGAACAGAAATATCAGTGTTTTCAAATGACTAGTCTTAGAATAAACCGTATTAACTCTCTTTAAATTAGTAGGCCCTCCCTTATTTTAAGAGGACTGCCTGGGACTACTCAGCAATACAAAGTAATGACCTCCTGGTTCCTGCAACAACCTGGAGCTCCAGAGAATTATAGAATACTGTCATTACATATCAAAACTTATATCCTTTATTTCTGAGTGCTGAGTAAGAAATTTGTTTTCTCTTCTGAGATATCTCTGTACTATTCAGTTTTCTGGATAATAAGCATGAAAAATGCTTGCAATCATAAAATAAGATTGTTTAAATAGTGTGTCTGTGTGTGTGTGTGTGTATATATATATAGTCCCCTGGCAGGTACAGAATGTGGATTCTCTTTCAGATAGTGAATACCAGAAAGGCAGTGTAACCTAGTCCTTCAGAAACGGCTCAGGAGTAAGATGACCTGTGAGAACCTAGGTCTCCCCTTAAGCACAGAGGGCCGTGATATGAAATCCCCATCACATAGGTGGTTAGGAAGTGTTTATAACAGTGCCCATAATGACCTAAGTGTTCAATTAAGTGTAAATTAACCCTTTGCTTTCTCTGGTTCTTTCCTGGGCAGCCCTCATCTAGGAGATGACAAAAGGCAGCCTCCTCCCAATCCCCAATCCCCTGTTCCCGCGGTGGGGGTGGGGTGGGGAGTGGAAGGGGGCTTGAAGGAGAATCTCTCAGGCACAGCGAGTAATTCCATAAGGTGAAGCTTGAACAGAGACTCCTCTCGTCCTATGACTGACTAACCTTTCCCACTTCCTCCTTCCTACTGGGAGGGAAAAAGGAGAGCTAGCTTCTCTTGGGAATCAGCACCAGGCGCCAGGCACACCAGGCTAACATCAACTCTATCCTACATAGCCCTCTCCCCCCACCTTCCCATCGCAGTCCGTGACTTTTCCCACTATCAACCCAGGCTCCCAGATGTTCTCCATGAGCCCCGTGCCTCAGCCTTGGACCGGTAGAACCAACCTAAACCACCAGGCGGGACCCTGTAATTGGTCAAAGCCAGGCTCCCTGACTCGGCCGGGAGGGAGCTGCACAAGGCATACTATGGGGACATGGTGCCCTTCGGTGGATTATGAGGCGTGAGAAGAACTGTGGAGTTTGTTTAGGTGAAATTAGGCTGTTTGGCGGGGTGAAAGCAGATTAAAACTCTGTGTCTTCACCGCGAATCGGAGCTGGCGAATCAAAACGTTAAGATGGAAGTGGAACACTGCGTCCAGAAACGCGTCTTCCGGAGCTGGGCGCCCCGGTGGCAATCGAGGTTGAATCTCTTGCCAAAGTGACTCAGGTTCCCCTGGCAGCAATGGGGCTTTCCTTCATACTGACTGAATTTCAGACAGAAGAGCACCTCACCCTTTGCGATGGTAGAGACCTAATTTTCTCAGAGAACGTTGCTGGTCAGAAGAGGGCGTTCTGACAATACTGCATCCGCGTCTGCCACTCTAGCCCCACGTGAGGCCACAGACTTCGCTTTTTTTTTTTTTTTAGGCGGAGCTAATTTTACTCTCCAGTGCAGTTATTCACATCAGCAGCCTCCAGCAGTTCAAGGAGTGGCCCACTCCCCAAAACGGAAAGGCGGGGCCGGAAGCCGCCTTTGGGTAGATGATGTCTCGTCAGGGCTGCGCCCTCCCCTGGGCGCGCCTGCGCCTTGCCTTCTTCCTGGTCCCGCTGCCTACGCAGCTGCGGCTCTCCTAGAATTTCTACTCAGGATTTGGCGAGGGTTCTCGCCTGTGTACCAGTCACGGGGACTTTCCTCTGATCCTCAAAAAACAAAAAGGCCAAAGTTCCCTCTACCAGGAAAGATGTTTGCGCGACTGGCTCCTTTCCACTTTGACCTTCATCTTCAAAGGTGTGTTACTTCGTGACTTGACCACATCACCCGTCGCTGCCCGGGCACCCGGGCCTCTGCAGCACACTCATTTTACTTTTTTCATGATATCTATCCGACTCCTAATGCTGAGGCCTTAAAAACCTAAAAGGATCTTGTCTCGGTGGGGGATGAGCTTGGCACAGCTGTCCACGCCCATAACACCCTACTAGGGCTCCTCTACTCACCTTGGACAGTGAATGGCTCCAGTTTCAGCCAGGTATTCCGAGTTCCACTCAGGTCCTTGGAGTGATGGCTGTAGCTCTGGGCCAGCCTTCGAACCGACCCCTCACCCTGCTTATGTATCCTGATCAAGGGCCCTAAACAGATCATTTTTAGACCTCAGGACCTGGGAGGGCTGGAGACCAGAAGGCAGACTCCTCAGCCTCTAGAATCCCTTGTGCTGGCACCCTAACCCCAGCCCACAGGTCTTGGACACAGTATACTTTCCAGAGGATCTGGTACCAACACCCTGGAAATGGAAGGTTTGGAGCAGGACACCAGTAGAGGTGGGGCTTCCCAGGTGGTGCAGTGGTAAAGAAACTGCCTGCCAAAGCAAGAGCCCCAAGAGACTTGGGTTGGATCACTAGGTTGGCAAGGTCCCCAGGAGGAGGAAACCATAACCCACTCCAGATATTCTTGCCCGAAAAATCCCATGGACAGTGGAGCCTGGCGGGCTACAGTCCATGGGATCACAGAGTCAGACACAACAGCATGCACTCCATGCCGCCAGTTGAGGTGGCTTGAAGCAACATCAAGGCAGGTGGCTGCCCCATCAGCTCAGATTCAGACCCAGGTTGTGAGCCACTGCCTGGCAGGGACAGGGCAGACCACTGCTGCCCTGGCCTGTCTCCACCCCAGGGTTTCTGCCAGGAGCAGGGGCTGGGCAGGGTAGGCCTCAGCTCCTTCCACCTTAGGGTATGGAGGTCAGCAAGAGGGGTGAGGCTGCAGACGAACAGGCTGCTAAGATGGAAAAGCCATTTCCCCAGCCCTATGCCATGCGTGCTGGGGCCTCTCAATAAGGTATTCCAGGAATGGACTTTGCACATACTGAGACCCAGAGTGGCATGGATGGTTTTGGGTTCTGAAATGCACTCTGCAGGGCTTCTTGGGATGTTGCTCATAGTAAGGTCTCACAGGACATTACCTGGAGTAAGGGGAAGGGTCCATGGGTTGCTCTAAGGGCTATAAAGGGTTCTACTGGGCTGAGTCAGTGAAGGAAGAACTGCATTTCCTGGATTGTGTGAACACTCACTGGGTGAGCTGGGGTCTTAGCAGAGGGCAAACCACTGGGGATCATTCTAGGTTACAGGAAGTCATGGGGATCTGGGTCACAGGGACTTCTAAGGTCTTCAGGCAAGGTGTGGAAATTGTAATGTTCTTTGATATAATGTTGAAGTGTCTTGTGTGGTGCATGGATGAGGCAGGAGATCAGTTATCAGGAGGTCCTCAAAGTGGGCGGGGGGGTGCTGGGAATGGGCTTCAGGACAAACATGCAGCCACAAGATGCATCAGTCATCCATGGGACATCCCCCACCCCACCCCAGCTGAGTGGTCTGGACTTTCCTGAGCAAGATTTTATCATCTCGTCCCAACCTGCCCATCCCTGACCAGACCCACAGAAGGTCGTAAGTCCATCAGAGGGGGAGAGAAATTTAATTTAGAAATAAGCTCTGGACAGCCTTTTGGTCAGAAGGGAGCCTCAGGGCCCACCCACAGAGAGAAAAGCCATCTTGAGGGGGTAAGGCCCCCAAGGGGAAGGGGACAGTATGGGAGCCGGTGCAGGGAAGGTCATGAAACCGATCCTGTGCTCAGCAGGTACTGGCAGAGCCTGTGGAGAGAATGTGGGGTCAGGTCCTCACAAACCCCATAGACACATCCTCAGCCTTAGGCATCCCCAAGGCTGACTGGTTCAGGACAGTCCTGCCTTACACACAGCATAACATGTATTAATCCTCAAATTATATGGCTGTACTGCCTGAGTGCCAGGAAGGCTCTCAAAGAAGTCCATCTCACCTGGAGTGAGGAGTGGAACAGCTTTCTCAGGTAAGGAGCTGTGAAAGGAGCATATCAGATTAGCGTCCTCAAACTTTCTGTCCTTTTCCCCCACCAAGATTCCTGGTAGCAATTTAAACAGTACGAAGGATCAGAGCTTTCTCTGACGGAGGCCCCCTCAGGGTTGATTATCTGTGAATAACAAATTCTACTGCAAACCCAGGGACAGCCAGGACTCTGTCCTCTTTTTCCAAATTGTAGGACATTATGCCCAAATTGCTCTGCCTAGCTCAAAGGACACAAAACAGGGCCCTGTCTCACCCATGCTTCTGCTTGTTCTTGCATTTGCATTTGCCACCTGTGAAGGAAGACACAGCCAGTGCAAAGAGCCCAGAGAGCCTGGGCCACCCTCCTCCCGCCCACTCCCCACCTCCACCCGACCCTGCTAGTCCCACTGCTCACTCAGGGCAAACAAGAGTCCAGCGATGCACATGAGGCCCGCACAGATCATCCCGCCCAGCTGCAGGCCTTCCCAGTCTAGAGGAATGGAGAGTGGGCTGGCATCAGCCTGGCTCCACCCCACTCATTCAACAGATAGTTATTCACACCTGCTTATGCAGACGCACTTAAATTCCAGGCAACAAGCAGGACAAACTCATAAATACATCATGTCATATCTGGTGGGAACAAGTACTAGGAAGAAAAATCAAGCAGAAATGCACAGAAAAAGAAGAGGCTTTGAAGAGTGATCAAGGAAGGCTTTGCTGAAAGGTGGCATTTGAGCTGAGACCCAGGGAAGATGAGGATGTGTGGGGGACAGTGGCAGGCAGAAGGAGAGGACACTTGCTTACGGGGGTTGTAGGGCAGCAACGAGCTGGTCCTGGGGAAGGCAAGAGAAGAGGGAGTGAAAGGAAGGAGATCAGCCAGCTGCCTTCAGCCACTTTCCCAGGAGTCTTCCTAAACATCTTGCAGGCCTCTTACCTCCTTGCTGGAGGGAAGTTCTCCCAAAGATGACGTTACATGTTGGTCTGTCGTTCTTTTGATCCAATATGCTGATTCTTTAATTCCCAGTCTCATCCTCATTCTGCCCCTCCTTGCCCACTCCCTCAAGCCCAGCTCTGTCTACACTGGGCTCCACATCACCCCTTACCAACTCTAGCAAAGGGGTCTAGCATAGGCAAGGGTAGGGGTCAGGGGCAAGGGATATCAGCTCTTACCATAGTAGAAGGGACTGTCTTTATCTGCAGAAAAGGAAAAAAAAAAAATTAACGACCAGAACCAGAAGGCAAGATGTGGGGTCTTAGAGAGAAAATGTGGGGACAGGGCCAGCAGAGCAGTTTAGGGCCTCACTCACCAACCACGTCACTGGCATCCAAGACAGGCAGTCCTGGGTGAGAGAAGCAGAGGGACTGGGTGTTAATTCATGATACTGGTCTCAAAATGAATCAGCAGGCAGGACCCCAGTCCAGAGGCAAAAGATCAACCAGCCTTGCTTGGGGCACCAGAGTGGGGGGTGGGGGGGACCCTAAGGTCACTGATTCCCCTCCTCATACCTTCCCCAACGCAAACAGACCTAGAATTTTGTCTCCTATTTTCTGGTCTTTGTGCCCTGCTCCCCCTCCCAGCCCTTCCTGCTATTTCTCAGGCTTCCTGTTATTCTTTCTTAAACTCAAAATGGGATGGTGTGTTGGTATCTTTACCCTCTCCTGAAAAGCTTCCTACCCAGATCCTGGCTAATGGTCTGCCTCCTAAAGAAGTAGGGAACACTGGTCTCTTCTTGCCAACAGGTGATTACAGTTTCCCCAAGTTCCATGATTCAGGATAATGTTGGGAACATCTACCTTACTGTAATCAGGTTGGCCAAAAAGTTCGTTTGGGTTGTAAGATCTACGGAAAACCCGAACAAACCTTTTGGCCAACTCAGTACTTCCTTTATGTTTAAGTTGGCAGTCTAAATGAAAACCCTTTTATTCAACATCAGGTGCCCTTTATGAGATGCTGTCCTGGTTTTCACAGCCTTGGTAGGTGAGTGAGTGGCAGCAGGGTTGCCTCTGGGAGGACTCACCAGCCAACAGGAGAAGGGCCCGGGTCACTCCCTCCATGACACAGCGGCACGCAGGACCAGTCTGCAGGAGAAGAGAGCAGGCTGGGGTCAGACAGCCCCGACCAGCCCCACGCCCATGGAGCCCAGTGGCACAAATCTCAAGGCTGCTTGTGGGGTAGACATGAGAAAGTACTAATTTCTGTGTCCTTGTCTAGAGTTAATAATAGTAATACCTCTAATACTTGTAATACTGTGGCTCTAATACAGCTGCAGAGCGATGCCTGCACATATTAGGTTGCCCAAGAAATTTGTTCAGGTTTTTCTGTATCATCTGATGGAAAAACTCGAACAAACTTTCTGGCCAACCCAGTAGTAAGTGCCATTTGAGGTCTGTTTTGTTAAAATCTGGTAATCAGATGCCTGACACACCTTCAGGAGGAGGGCGACTGCTCTAACTCAGGCTTTGGTGCCTGCCTTCCTGACCCCCAGCTCAAAGGACTTGAGGTATTTTTTCCAAAGATCTGGGCCGGGGGCAATACCAGGCTGAAGTCCAAGACAGCCTCCAGCTAGGGCATGCCCGGACTTCCGAGGGAGGGCAGTGGTAAAGAACCCTCCTGCCAATGTAGAAGATGTGGATTTGATCCCTTGGTTGGGAAGGTCTCCTGGAGAAGGAAATGGCAACCCACTCCAGTATTCTTGCCTGGGAAATCCCATGGACAGAAGAACCTGGTGGGCTACAGTCCATGTGGTCTCGAAGAGTCAGACACGACTGAGCGCGCACACATAGGGCATGCCCAGAACTCCTCTGAGTGAGCAGTGGGACAGGGAAAGCGGAGGAATTGGGGGCAGATACTGGGTGCAGGCAAATGCCTCCCATCCCAGCCGTGGCCAAGGACCATACTCCAGGTAGCCTCAAATTCCACTCTCAGAGTACAGACTGCTAGCAGGAAAGTGCCTGGTGGCTGGGACATGGCCCCTTCTTTCTCCTTAGGGTGGGAACTATTCCCGTCTTCATTTATCAGTCCTAGGGTGGCTGTGTCCTTGAGATAAGATGCCCCCAGCTTTCTGCCTATTATTGGCCTCAGGCAGGCATAGAGATTGTCAGTGTTCCAAATCCCAACCCCAGTTTTTACGTGTTGGGCCCAGCTAGCCGGAGAATTCCTCTCTCAGCACTTAATAGCTGTGTGACTCAGCTAGGTTACTTAACCTGTCTGTGCTTCAGTGCCTGTAAAAATGAGTATAATTATAAGAGCAGCCTCCTAAGGTTATGTTTGAATCGAATGAGTTACTGTATGTTGAGCCTAACAATAGTGCTAAGCACATAATAAGTACTAAAACATGTTACACAAGTACATGGATCCTTTTGCAGTAGGAAGTCAGGACTATTAAGCTGCTCCTTCGGAACATGGGGGTCTTTTGGCTTTGAGCAATTTGTAAACCAGGCCCTCCATTGGCCTGTCTCTCCCTGTCCCTTCTATCACCCTGGAATTCCTGGATCATGAGGGTTGCAACTCCCCTTTACTCTTTAGCCAAAGACTGCTTCCTGTTTCCTCCAGCCCCCAACCCACCTTCCACGTGATGGTGCTCACAGGGCAGTCCTCCAAACCCTCAAAAGCATCTGTTACTGGGAATACCTAGGCATGTATCATACCCTTTCTCAGACTGGTACCCCAGACCACCCCTCCACCTCCACCCCTCTGCCTAGGAGTCCTGAAGTCCTAGCAGAAACCTGCTCACCTGATGAGAGGCTTCTCCTGAGCTCACCTGAGAGCCGGCTGGGTGTAGAGAGCTGGTCTGAGGAGGCTTCTAGGGCTGCGTCCAGCCCAGGTGGGTTCCGGTTTTTTAAGCCTGCGGCCCCGCCTGCCCAGGGCAACAATACTATCAGGCAGAAGGAACTGGTCAGATTCCTTGAGATTCCTGCAGCTCCTTCTCCCCAGTGTGCTCTTAAAGGAGACTGCCACACCCGGTGGACAGCGGAGTGAGGGACCCAGGCCTGCTCAGAGTCTAAGGCAGTGGTGGGGGGTGGGCTGGGCCCCAGACCCTTCTCATGAGGAGAAGGTGGGCTTTCTGCTTCTTTAGCTCACCTGGACCCTAAAAGAGAGGTCCAGAAAGGTGCTGGAGGGGACCAGGATGTTTCTGGGTACTTAGACCTAAAGTAGGGGTTCCAGAACTTCTTTAGGGGAGTGTCCCAGAAACATGGTGTCAACAAAGAGTCAGGCCTTGAGGCTCCATTTGCTCAGTGGTCTCATTGCTTTTCCTTGGACTGGGTTTCATCGAGGGGAATAAATGGGGCTGATGGGTGCCCCTTAAGATGGCCCACCCTCTGACCAGCCCTGACAACCACTTAGCTGTGGGTGGAGGAGGGCAGAAGGTAGAATCAAAACCACCCGCCAGGTCCTTAGTTCCTGCCTACTACCTGGGGGCAGGGGTGTAGGATAGGGTGGTGGCCAGGTGGGGGGCAGGAGGAGGACCACCAGCCCCAAGATGAAGAGTGGGCCACCTGCTTCTGTGGACCCCATGCCTGGCCAAATTTTCTTCCTGTCCCTTACCCCGCCACATGCCTTCTACCTGTGCCCTTGACCTTGGATGACCCCAGGCCTCTCTATTCTCCTGTCTCCCCTCCCTAATTCCTCTCTTTTTATACCCTCTTCTCCAATGCATGGTGACCAACTGAAACAGGACTGTTGCCTCCCTATTCCCTCCCAATGCCCAGTCATGGATACTGATAGATTTTGATTGAATTGTTGAGTCACTGAGGACAGGAGGCCATCAGCGGATCACAGTGCTGAGGGTCAGAGGGCAGGACAGAGCCTGAAAGACAGGGGTGGGAAGGATTCAGAGAGGACCTTCCTAGTGCAAACATGTGGCACCTCCTCACGAAAACCTTATATGGTGCTTCCTATTCTTGACTCAGTTCGTACAGTTTAAATCAGGGCCTCTGGGGCCAGAAAGAGCTGGCCCCAGCTTGCCACTAGCTCATTGGGTGATCTCAATCAGCTCCTTCATTCCAAGCCTCAGTTCCCTCTCCTCTAAACTGCAGTAACAACAGGACTTACCTGATATTTGGGGTGGAGATGTTGCAGGGGCAAGGGGCTGACCCATGGCTGGTCCTCAATTTGTATTTGTGGAATGAATGCCTCCCAGGCCCCATGTAAGGACAGTCTGTGAAACTCAAGATTCAGAAAAACCATTAATAGTGCATACCTTGAAGTCAACCCCAGGCTCTGTTAGTTACTTGCTATATGCACTTGAGCAACTTACCTCTCCCAGCCTGTTTGCTCATCCATGAAGTGGGAACTATGACTAAGCTGACTCTGAGTATGTGCTGTGATGATGACATCTGATTATGCTGCTCAGTTCACAGGAGCTATTTGTGTAGTTGGGAATGGCCCTTGTATTCACACAGTGAGCCCTGCAGCATGAGAGAAACTGTGCTCCAGAGAAGATAAAAGTCTTGCTCAAGGTTACATTGTATGCCCTGGTAGCAAAGTGGAAATTCAGCTCAAGTTTTCACACTCAACATGTGAGAAATAAACAGCAAGAAAGCAAGCATTTGTAGGAAGAGGACTGTTGAAGTCCCAAGTGCTTGGAAAGATCTCCAGGAAGTATGAAAAAGACCTCAGATCCACTTCTCCAGAAGGCTCTAGCACTTTTACTCCATCCTGAAGCTGCTGCCCACTTGAAGGATCCTCCATTCCCATCTCTATCACCATGAGATATTATCACCTTTACCAGGTAGAAGGAAAACACCTGTGTCAGGTATTATTGCCACTGGTTGAAGGTAGAGGACAGGTTGAGCCCAGGACAGAACCAGGGAGAGGGAGCCCAGCTACCTGTGTGTAATTTCTATGAGCACAACGGTGAGTTACCACCTCATCTCTCTCTTTTGCCAGAGTTCGGTGTAGGTGCATTAAGACTGAGTGTTGCTTCTGTCCCATCTGAGAGGCCCCAAAGGCTGGCCAGACACTCAGTGGTGGGCAACAGTGCTTTCCACACTGGAAGCAGCATCAGTCAGTTCTGAAACTAATGAATTTAGCTTCTTGGATGTTAAACTCAGTGCTTATAAGTGATCATGAAGGTGCATGTAGAAAACTTTACAAGCTTGGTATATTATTAAGAATTGTCTCCGGGGGACTTCCCTCGTGGTCCACTGGCTAAAATTCCAAGCTCCCAATGCAAGGGGCCCAGGTTCGATCCCTGGATGGCAAACCAAGATCTCCCAAACCTCATGCAAAAACAAAACAAAAAAAAAAGGTGTCTCATTTGTTTGGAGTATTTAGGATGAACAATTGCTCACTCAAGATGTGATTCCTGAGGGACTGGACTGGCAGTGAAGGCTGTTTTCAGAAGTCACTTTCAAGGAGATCTGGCTACTTGCCCTGCTTCTTGGGCATGCATTCCTTATCAGAATTTCTGGAACCATCCATTTGGGCCTGATTTCTTATCTACCAGATGGGGAGCTTGGTGGGAGGAACTGAGACCTACAGGGAAATCAAACCTCTGATGATGAAAGGTTCGAAGGAGTGGGTGATGGAGAGCCAGCCTCAGTCGGAGGGATGCAGATGACAGCCTAGAGGTATCAAAAGTCAAAAGAGAGAATGCAGCAAGATCCAGCTCTGAACTCTCCCTTCCCTTTCTGGACTTCAGTGCTGCAAATGATACAAGGGACCTTGTGTGGAACAAGGGAAGTCTGTTGCCAAGAGTGGCCACCTGAAAATCAGCACTCACACCCAGGACTCTCTCTTCTGCTCATGTCAGTCACTGCCAAAGCTCTTCCTACTCCCAAATTATACTTTTCCCCTTCTCAAAGCATTACCAGTTACTCTGCGGAGAATATAGATGCATCCTCAAAGTCATTAATTTTTCTGAAGAAAGATACTAAAACAGGAATTAGCTAAGGTTGGCCAGAGATAAAAGGGAAGTGGCTAGTATGCCTGGCACAGAGTGGGAGTGTTTTTTCCTGCCTTCGAAGACAGACTGAATGTCACAGGCGTCAGTAGAAAGCTGATTGTCTATTTTGATGAATCTGGTAGAGGAGAGAAAAGACCTCATTCATGAGAGAACAAGGACAAAGAAACTCTCTGAGGCTTCTCCCAGTCAGAAATACTGAACTCCCACCTGGACCACTTCTGTGCTGTCTCCCTCAGGAGCCCCCCTGTTCTTATTCCTGTCTCTTTCACATCTGGGTATGTATTTAACTTCATTGGCTGACATGTTCCACAGGTCCCTCTCCGTGTGCGCTCAGGGTGCTGGGCTCCTCGCTCACAGATCTGGGTCTCACTTTCTTTGAGGACCATGTGGAGGGAGGAAGCCTGACTTCGCTCACCTGCCTACTAGTGCGAGAGCAGGAGGTGAGTAGGTCTAAGACAAGGTGCAGGGGAGGCCATTTGAAGGGTTGCGGCAGTTTGAGGGCTTTCCCCTGGATCTCGGTCTAGGCTGACTCCGCATTTGGGAGGCGGCAGGATGGGCCCGTCACGTTGCGCGATCTAAGAGCCTTCCAGACGAGGGGATACTGAAACGATGTGGGGGTGGGGTGTCTCAAGAATGGGGATGTGGAGGTCTCTGCGGCTGTCAGTGACTGCCTGGCTCTCTTCGGCCAACTCCAGTCAAAAAGACTCCATTGACTTTTAGGATGTCCTTCCAAGAAGCCGTCCGTACCCACTGTCCCTCGTGCAGGGGGCCGAGAAACAGCCATTCGGAGCAGGACTAGGATGACTTCCAGCCAATCGGCACCAAGGAAAGGGAGTTGAGGTGGGGCCTTGGGCAAAGCCGCCTGTGAGGCGCAGGCACGGGCCCAGGCCGTGTGGGCAGGGCTTTTCTGGCGTGGAAGCGATCCCGCTAATCCTCGTGCGGATTGGCCCTACTTGGGTTCTCGCGAGTGGCTGTCAAGCAGCCATCCTATTACGCGTGCGCAGTTTTCCTTTCTCCTCTGCGTCAGCAGGTAACGGTAGGGGTTCTGGTTAAGTCGTTTCTGGAGCCTTTGTTCACCCGTTTATCCGTTCCTGCCGCCGAGATGGCCGCAGTCTCCCGGGCCTGGGTCCTTAAGAGGCTGTGAGGGACAGCTGAAGTGAAGGGACAGCGCATCGAATGATCTCAGGAGGCCGAGGAGGAGGGGGACGAGCCGTGGAGGCGGACCGCAGAGAGTGCGGCCAGCAAGCCGGCAGTGGACCTTGGGAGGGAGGGCTTCAAGCAGGGGAGAGACATTGTTAATTTGAATTTGAGAAGGCCCTTCGAAGAGTGAGGATGAAAACCTGTGGGAGAGGCGAGAAGCTCAAGGGTTCCCAAAACAGATACCGGGAGATGTCGTTTCTCATCGACCCTTCATTCCGCTTCTGTTAGAGGTCCCCCAGGGGTCTCTTAGCTTTCTTGTCCAACTGCTGCTCACGTTTCTCAACCATACTCCTCAGCCCTCGACCTTATTATTGAAGTACCTCCTGGACACACCACCCAGTCAACCACTTCTGAAATAAACCTTTCCATTGTGTCACCTCCCCCATAGCCAACCCTGTCTCTTATTTCAGAATTCCCTGAAAAGTCACTCGTTTATCCACCCGGTCACACAGGCCACCACTGAGCACATCATAATGGGGATTATCTATTGATGTGTGTCACCCGCCTCAGATGATGACCTTCTTAAGGGTAAGGGGACTAGCACCCCGCACTCTGGTGTATCCACAGTGGCAGCCTTGGTGAGTGCTTGCCACCTGGCAGGCTACTTTCCACCACTTTCCCCATGTTAATTCATGTCACCATCGCAACCTTTCCGGAGAAGACTCTCACCTTGTTTCAGGATGAGAAAACTAGGTGAAGAGAGATTAAGAGAAGCATGCTGGGAAGTTGCTGTATAACACAGGGAGCTCAGTGCTCTGACAACCTAGAGGGGTGGGATGGGGTCAGGGGTGGGAGAGAGGTTCATGGGGGAAGGGACGTATGTATACCCATGGCTGATTCAAGTTGTTTATGGCAAAAGCCAACACAATATTATAAAGCAATTATTTTCAAATTAAAAATGAATTAAAAAAGAAGCACCCAACCTCACAACTGGAAGTGACAGCTCCAGAACCAGTTCTTTTAACCACCACTCTCCACGTTAAACTATGCATGTGATTTTATTTTGAATGTGGTTTAAAAACAGCTTTGATTTCACATACCAAACAATTCTCCCATTTAAATTGTACAATTTCAATGTATATTGGAGATGTGTGTGTGTGTGTGTGTGTGTGTGTATTTCTTTTTGGTGTGCATGCATATGTGAATTTTAGGCTGATGCCTATCTGTTTAGGTATTTTGTGTCGATAAATGTGTATTTTATTTGCACTAACATGCCAATTGTGGGAAAGTTGGTATTACTATATATGTACTGTGCTTCCCAGGTGTCACTGGTGGTAAAGAGTCTGTCTGCCAATACAGGAGATGTGGGTTAGATCCCTGGGTTGGGAAAATCTTCTGGAGGAGGGCATGGCAACCCACTCCAGTATTCTTGCCTGGAGAATCCCATGGACAGAGTAGCCTGCCGAGCTATAGTCCATAGGGTCGCAAAGAGTTTCAGATATGACTGAAGCAACTTAGCATGCATGTACATACATGTACTATGTGTACTGTGCTTTTTTAAAAAATTGAAGTATATACTTATTTATGTATTTATTTTTGGCCTCGCCACACAGCATGTGGGATCTTAGTTCCCCAAACAAGGATTGATCCAGTGTCCCTTGCATTGGAAGGGTAGAATCTTCATCACACTGGATAACCAGGGAAGTCCCTATGATGTTTTTTAAATTTAATGTTATAATTTGGTTTTACGTCTTTCAAAGTATTTTCATTCTAATATAATTACTTGGTATGTATTCACTGATTCAATGTCTGTCTTGAATTTTACTACTGTTCTGGCACTTTTTCCAGGAACTGAGGGTTCCAACTGGGTAATGCAAAGCTTCTGCCTTGAACGGTTGACATGATGAGGATGAGTAGGAAAGAGAAAAAAGCTGGTATAATATTTCAAGTATTGATTGACATTGACGAGTGTAGTGAAGACATATAAAGCAGCTAAGTTATATAGTGATGGGGGAGAGAGACTACCTTCTTAGAAGGTTAGAATTGGTCAGTGTTAGAAATATGGGTTTAAAAATATTTGTGTTGACATAGTCATAAATTTCCCTTTGCCCATTTCACCCTTGTTAAACTGAGCCAGTGA